TGCTCAATGCTATTATAATCGAGAGCAAAGTCAAAAAAATGATTGTATATTTTTTGCAAAGAAATCCTGGTGGTCGTTCCATTTGGATTATCGTTTGTTTCGATGATCGTCCAATGAAGGTTGAAAACAAAACAGAATTTCGAAATTTCAAATTAGCCATTTCAGAATCGATATAAATTGGAAAAACTTTGAATAATATGTTTGTTTCATTTTGATTCAATCAAATTAATGAAATTTTCATACAAGATTTCATTATAATTAGTTGGTGTGAAAACTGAAACAATAATGGCATCTATTGTGATTAAATGGTATTTGAATAGTAAATTTTATTGATTATATCAACATTATTATTATATCTATAAACTACAGAAATGTTTTGATTAAAGAATGAATGAACAAAAACAAGTGAGAGATTGATATAGATTATTCCACCGAATCTGATGGATTGATTGATTGTTGTTGTCTCATCAGTTTACGTAGATCCTTTATAAATGAACACGATATCAATAATACGATCACATTTGCAGCAACATGCCACCCCAAAAATGGATGAAATGCTGTCAAAGCAATCGAAGACATCAAATCAAGAAATGTTAGTGCCAAATAGATAACCGAAAGGGCATAACATTCATCCAATGCACCAAGCAAACCGATGAGTGAAAAAGCAATTTGAACACCGCACATGGACGATATGTACAAAAACACCATTCGCTATATGATTAATTTGGAGAAACAAAAACGAAATTATTAGTGAACAAAACTTGATCAATTCACCAAAATTTACCTTATCATATACCACAGGAATCTCTGGATGTTGTTCATGAGCTTTTTGTAGGACATCATCCAAGTCATCATAGGACACAACAACACAAACGAACAAAACCAATGCAATTATAATCGAAATCGAAGTATAACAAAAGATTGCAGTTTTCTTCATAAGAAATCCTTTTGTTCGTTCCATTTTGATGATCTATCAATGAAGGTTGAATACAAATCCGAATTTCGAAATTAGAATCAGGTATTTTTGAAATTAGAAAAACTTTGCAACTTGTTCTGCAGCGAAACAGTGATGAAATGATAGGAAATGGAAATTGACACTGTGTTGATGAGTCAAACACTTGACAATGGTTTCGACTTGAATATTCAGAAAAAAATGTTGGAAAAATATAAACCATTCATATACAATGTATGGCAGTGAAGTTGGATTCAATCAAATAAACATTATTAATAAAAAAAAATTTGGTTATTGAATGGATTATCATTTATTTGGTTAGTATATGAGGAAAATGAAAATTATGAAAAATACATATTTTCAAAAACAACAGTTCACGATTGTCCAGTTGATTCCAATAATATTGGACGTGGATGAGGTAAATGACGTAAATCTCGTAAATCTTGAACAAAGAAATAGGTTAGGGCGATTAAGAGCACATCGATGATCAATGATAATAATGTATGAAAAAATGTTGTATAGCTGGCCATAGAAGCTGTAGCAACCAAACCAATAAGGTTCAATATCAAAAAAGTAAGTGAAAGTGGATAACTTTCATACATAGCACCGAACATACCGATAAGAGAATAGGTAAATATAAAGCTGATTAGAATGCCCATTATCAACACCAATCCTTGCTATATTTGTTGGGAAAAAAGATTATTCAATTAAGATTATTCAATCAAGATTATTCAATCAAGATTATTCAATCAATTTCAACCACCAACAAACTATTGATTCATATTTACCGCAGCACTTTCGGCAGAAATTTCTGGCTTTGTTTGATGAATTAGTTTAGCCACTTCATCTTTTGTGACAAGGGTATAAATAAAAGCGGCAGCTGATAATACCATGATAAGTGTTGTTAAAAACATGATGGCATGCTTTTTGCGATAAAATCCTTCCAATCGTTTCATTTCGATTTGTTTAGATGACGAACAAATCATTACATTTGATTCATTCATATCGGTTTGTTTCGATTGAATCATGTTTGAATTTGATGGAATTGTTGACTGCTCACTTTCGGACATGATTATTATCAAACAAAGATGCTAATGCAAAATGATTAATGAATTGATTGATGATTTCAATTCGAGTGAAACCGTCTATATCTACCGAATTGGCTTTCGAAATTCGAACCAATCGATCAAACACAAATCATTCATAAATACTATTTACTTGACTATTTTTGCTTTATTCGATTTAATTTAGCCAAAAATTAATCTAATCAATAGGTTCAACATGGTGATTTAGCGATTTTGGAAAAATGGTCATAATACGCTGGGCCAATATAAAACAGGTTAGATAATATAAACAAATTATAGCTATTAACAATGTATATTTTCCATGCATCCAAATGTTGCAATCATTTATGATGAAAAGTGTTGTTTGTCGTGATTGATTTTGAGCTTTGATTGAAACAAGGGGAATTTTGCTAATCATTAATGACTTATAATTGATACATTTAGCATTCATTTCATCACTTGCATTGTTCAATATAAATGGAAATGTTGACGTTGTTTTGTCGCCATTTCTCATAATTATTTGATCATTTTGAGTGGGAATCAATTCGATTTGACCATTCGACCCGAATCTGGCTATGAATGGAATAATTTTCAATTTAGTTTTTTTCATCATAATTGATTTTGACATGGGTGATTTGGTTGGGAAAATCATTCGATATTGTTGTCGAATGTCATCATTTAAATTACGTTTAATAATGGATTTTTCAGCCATTGATTGTCTTTTTAGCATTTCATTACGAAATCGTCTTTCATATTGCAAATCATAGAATCGTTGAAGAATATTTAAAAATCTGGCCGATTTACCAGCAAATTCTTTGGCTGTTTTTTTCATTGCCAACGATACTAATGAGGGCATTGGATTGTTATAGAATTTGAATTGATTGTCATGTTGTTGAAGATGATTTAAAAATGGTATTTTATACAGGGGGAATTGTTGCCATTTTTTTGTTTGTATTCCATTCGTCTCATTATCGTTTGATGATTGTGGATTCATTTTTTCAAACTGATCGACATAAACAATGCAATCATTTGCTATATTTTCAATGTGCATCAATTCAAAAATTGTTGATTGTTGGTTATCAGTTTTGAGAAATGTTCTCCAACCGAACGGTGTAATACGACTGAATAATTTGGCTGATTGAAGATTTTTCGTAATGATCATTTGTTTGTTGTTTTGGCTACCTGATGATGATGCTGAATTCTGTGCAATATTCATTGATTTTGATAATGCTTTCGCTCGTTTGGTTGTTTGAAAATGGTCTATAATAATTGCATCATCACTATCCGACGATGTTCGACTTCTTTTTCGTTGTGGTGTTGGTGTTGATGAATTCTGTGTTCGATAGAAGCCATTTGATAGCCATGTTGGTTCGGGTTCATTATCATCATTATCATGAACAATTTGAGCTATATTATCACAATGTTTTTCTTTGGCCAATTTCTCCAACAATTGTTTTAGATGATTGTAGGATTGGCATGTTGAAAATGATTGAAAATCATCAAAATTATCAAATTGCTGCAATTCGAATCCATCAATGAGATGTGATTCGAATTTAGTTGTTGCCGAATTGCTTTCATCGATCGTCATTTGATATTCACTTTTCAATTGCAAATATAATTTTTTCAAAAAATTTTCCGGGAAATATTGGTATGAACAGCCAAAAATAATCTTATCCAAATCTATGATTCGTCCACGATTCTCATCTGTAGTCGTTTGTCGATGTTGGGATAGATTTTTCAATTTGCCACGAGCCATAATCGGATTTAACAAACAAAAATAAATTTCAAATTGAATAACAATTTCACAATATGGAGGAAGCATGAGGCATTCTCAACATCACAATCAACGACACAATCCATTCATAAAAGATGTGACAGCAATTTGTTCGTTTTTTGTTTTCCGCGAAATTCTTTGTTTGTTTGTTTGTGTTCGATCCTGCTTCGACCGTTTTAGGTCGGTCGTTTTTTTGTTCTGTTTTCAATTTACGAAAATGAAAAAAAATGTCCATTTCCTTTTCATCAAACAGAATTGATGATGATTGTTATCACTGGATGGCGTTCCTGGCAACAATTGAACACACATGAATGGCGATTGAACCAAAAAATAGAAAATCTTTTTTTCTCCCATTTTCCTTCCAATTCATGGCCGAAATGATTTGAATAAAATAATAAGTTCCTACATTGAATTATGATACTTGAGATAGCAAACTCAGTCAAGGATTCAATTCAGTGCTTTTTCAATGTTGAAAGATTTGTTTTGAATGAACATTGGATTCAATTAAAATAACAAATTGAATTGATTGGTCAATGATGATGACAAGACAAGATCAATGAAATTATTAGCCAAAAGATAACAACAAATCGAGAGACTATTTCGACTATTTCACAATTTCGATTAACCACTGGGTGTATTTTGTTTTGTTTTTGTATTTGATTCGAATGGCTGCAGAGCAACAGCAACAAATCAATATGATGAAAAAGAAGAGAGCCAACAACAAAACACACATATACATCGACCACTTGTTTCGATTTTTCTCTCTTTCAAGATATTTCATTTCGATCATACCACCACCTCCAACCACCAAGACGACAATCGATGATGATAAGAAGTGATAAAAAATATATTTTTGAGTTGAATTTTTCTATTCGTCCAATTCAGTCATTCTTTCGAAAAGATTCAGTGAATCAAAGCAACAGCAACTTTATCCATCTTGATGATTTGAATCACGTTTGTTTGTTACGGTTATCGATATTGATACTGATCAACAAGTGTTGTTTGTTTGATTGGTATCCCATGTAAATTCTCTTCAATCGATCGTTTGATGACGATGACGACTACAAAATATTGTGATTTTCTTGTTTGATTGCAATCATTTCACCATCGCCATCATCCTCGAATTGATTGAAGTAAGCTGAAAAAATGATGACTGAAGAAGCAACCCTTTATTTCAGTGAACAACCATTGATTGAATGCTCATGCTCAAATCGAATCAATGATTGAATGAATGAATTTATTTCCTATTAATCATGCCAAGTAAAAGACAAAAATTCTTTCGTTTTGGATTAATGAAAAGAATTTTTGCTTTTTGCATTCAATTTAAATTTTGTTTTTGCTAATCACCATTGATTCAATCAGCATTAAAGTGAATGAACAAATTTTTCGCCAATCATCACCGAATTTGATTTCGTTTTCCCCATCCAATCCCTAATCATCATTGATGATGAATTAATTAATGAAGATAAATACGGAACAACAAAACAACATTGAAGTAATATCTTTTCACTTGTCATCAATGTGATTGATCGATCGATCAATCGAAAAACAGCAAGATTCTTCAGCAAATTGATGATGAGCCAAAAATATTTCTGTTTCAATTATTACATGGTCATCATCATCATAGGTGTGAATTATTCAAGCAAATAATAATAATTCTTTGAGAGGAGAAAAATCTTCTTAAATCTCAAGTTTATTGTTGCCGTCATTAAAAAAGATATTGACATGGTATGTATTTTATGATTATTGTTGCTCAATTGTCGTCCTTGGTTGATTTTATTTCTTGAACAAAATTGGTTTTTGTCTTGTGAAAAACGGAATCCTATTCAACCAATTGATTGGAGTTTGTTTTTTGTTTTGTTTGGATGTTGTAATCGTTGTTTTGATGAAAGAAAATAGTCTATGATTTGAAAATTCAATGTTGAAATATGTTGAGCAGGCCAATGAATCGATAGATCGATTGACCTTAAAACGAAAAAATCATTGTTGATCTCGAGGATTCAGTGACGCCATGCTCTGATTAATTTTGTTTTGTTTTCTTCAAACAAACAAAATCTAGATAGATTTTAATTATAGCGTTTTTTCCAGAAAATTATCAAATTTAAATTTCTTTTCATTTGAGTGAAAATGATAAATATTCAGTATTCGATTCGATTCGGATGAAACAAAAGACAAAAAATATTAATGATTGATAGAAATAGATCTTCGCTGAACAACAACAACAACAGAAAACTCTTTTTGTCATCATTTCTGTTTTTCTTACTGGAAAAGAATTGACCCGTTTTTCCTTCTCATTTTCTCTCCCCAGTATTTTTGACTGGTTTTTTCATTTGAAAGAAACTAGATTTTTTCAAAATAACCAGAATTTCTCTATGTTGAACCATTGTCAATATTGTGTATCTGCGAAATGGCATAATTTTTGATCTGGCATCCGTTATATGTTTGTTTGACTGTTTGAATGTGTTTCTCTCGAAATGAGCTTGTTTTTGATGATGATGTGAATCTATCTCTCTTGAAAAACGGTTTATTATTGTTGTGTCAGCCAGTGTCTGTTTCCAAATCGTAACTTGTTTGGCCAGTTTTTATTATTATTGGCTTGTCTGAATGTATTTCTCTCTATATTTCACTCAATGTTACTTCCTTTTTTCTGAATCTGAATATGAAAAAAATCCTCATCCATCCATCATCCATTTGGATATAGGCACAATTCATTGTTGATTTGGTGGAAATGAAAACATTTGGTCTATGTTGTTGTTAGTGTCACACCATTGATATTATTTCGCTAGATCAGTATCGATAGTTTGATATTTTCAAAACACCAGACAATTTGTCACCATTTTCAAACATCTGATTGTGTTTGATTTGATGTTTTTTGAACGTTTTGATTTCTGTGATTGACAAGTGAAAAAACACCATTTTTTGTTTTAATGTTTGATTGATTCGAATCGCATATTAAAATTGTCGTTGTTTGATTGATGTCAATCAAAAAAAAGCAAAAAATAAAATATTGTTAATATTAATAATAAATATTATTTTGTCCTTTTTGCTTGGTGGATAGATGAAAATGATCAAACATTCATCGTTATTTAAATGGCCACAGAATAGTGGTGCGACTAAAATGATCAATACTGCTGATAGTATTATTACGGGCAGTCAACTTGGATCATCATCCTCGATTAATGGCAATAATAATGCAACATCATCCACAACCTTATCGACAAATAATGCAAAAACAAAACAACAATCATCATCATTATCATCATCATCGTCGTCGTCATTAGCGTCAAGTCAACAACAACAACAGCAATCATCTACACAACAGCAACAAAAACTATGGATTCATCCTCCAGCTACTTTACAAAATGGACATATAGCATATTTAGTCAAGGTAATAATCAAGATGAATTGATGATTGAATTTTATTTATCTTTTTATTTGATTGATTGGCGGGATTAAGATGTTTGCATGTTGCTATTGCAAAACTACGTCATGTTTCTACGTAGACATTGTTGATAATTTTCTAATTAGATTTGTGTTTTTAGAGACAAATGAATTGATAATTGAAAATGTTTGATCATTTTCGTTGTCATCATTTAGCTTGGCCAATTATAATGGTTTTGTAATATTAAAATGCAATCTCTTTTCTCTCTTCTCTTTTCTCTTTTTTGTCAGTATTTTGGCAATGTAGAAGTTAATCAACCGAAAGGCATCGATGTGGTGAAAGAAAGTATCAATAAATTGAAATTTATTCAACCGTTAAAAAAGTCTGAAGGACAAAAGATTCCTAAAGTAGAATTAACAATATCGGTGAACGGTGTTGCCATACAGGAACCGAAAAGCAAGAAAATATATTGCCAATTCCCATTGCACAGGATATCATATTGTGCGGATGATAAAAATGAAAAGAAATTTTTCAGTTTTATTGCCAAAGATTCGGATACGGATAAACATTTATGTTTTGTATTCATGTCGGAAAAAATGAGTGAAGAAATCATTCTCACCATTGGACAGGCATTCGATTTAGCTTATGCCAAATTTATTGAAACTTCCGGAAGAGAATTGGAAATCCGCAAACAGTTGATTATATTGCAGAAAAAAGTCTGCCATTTGGAAGAGGAAAACAAACTGTTGAAAGATAAACTTGCTAAATACGAACCAGTCTATGTTGATGGTAATAGTGATAATAATAATACAAAGCCATCATCATTATCATCCTCATCATTGTCATCGTCCTCATCTCGTTCCAACAATGGCGTAGATCTATTGTCTGATGATATTGTCAACGTTAAAGATAATAAAGACTCAACAATGATGAACGGACATAATAAATTAAAGTCTACTTTGAATTCGGTTACCGTTCCTCCACTCCAACCACCACCCAGTTTGAAAAATCATCGTAATCAGCAAATTAATCTGATCGATGTTGATATCGAGTGCAATGATAATACGGCCTCATTATTGAATCATAATAACAATGAGTTACTGTCATTGAACAATAATGCTGTACAATCAATCAACGATTTGTTCGATGAAGACTTCAATCCAAGAGCCAATGATGATAATCAATCCGCTAAGGTTTCAACAAACAATTCTAATATAGTCCAAAATATTAGTCCGATTGACCAGAATTTGCTCGGTGTTACTATCTCACAGGAAAAAGATATTTTCGGTTGCGAACCATTCCATCAGATACCAACCGGATGTGATGATCCATTCGGTATGCCTCAATTTCAAGGTTCAAATGATTTAGATTCAGCTATCGATAACATTGATAAACGATTAGCCGAAATGAGAGTAAGTATTTCTCCATTGATAAATTGATCATCATTTAATTCTTTTATAAAATAGGATGGATTCAGTCAAGGATTATCGGCGGATGGATTCAATTTGGATTCTTGAATAGTGGTTATATCCCAACCGACCGACGTTCATTCACCCCAATTATTTAGCTAAAATTATTAACACTTTTGAATGTTGTTTATTGATTTTACAAAATATTAATTTAATAATCCTAATACATATCGACCTGAATGACGAAAACACTTGAGAATCACCAGAATTGAGATTAATTAATTAATTGTGATCATTGCATTCATTCCATAATGACAAAAACCAAAATAATTTCAGAGTTTATATTCAAAAAAAGTATTCTTTCAGAAAAATTTATTAAAAGTGCCTAGTTTTATTATGTAAATGTTGCCTTTATAAAAAAATTGTAAATGAGTCTGATATGAAAAACATATTGGAGTGTTCAATTCATTCAATGGCAATGTGTGTATAAGTAAGTATAAAATGAAAATATTTCCAAAAAAACGAACAAACAAATCAGCAAAGGATGATATGCAGGTCACCATGATCAACAATGAATGTTGTTATTGCTGTTGATCAATGTGGTCATTTCATTGGTATATTGCTTCATGATTGCTTGATATTCTCCTTTGTAATCTATGGTGGATAATATTAAACAAAATTATTATTATTCTCGACAATGAAAAAATTACCTTTACTAAATTCAATCAGATAAAGTGATTCATCGGGCAGATTGCGCACAACATCATCGGTGATTAAAATTTTTACTGTGGATGGACCGATTAGACAAAATCTTTTGAAATAAGTGCATTTCGATGAATTATGAGGTAATAATGTAGCAATCAATTTGGACTGTAGCTCATTGACAGTCAATGTATCGAGATAGATAGCATGAAATAGTTCATCATTATGCGAACAAACATATATTGATAATTTGGATTTGATACTTTTCCAATGTAGCGCATTATATAATCGTATGCCATCGGTTAGGCCGCATATTTGAATCAAATCATCCTTGGACAACATTAAAAAATCTGAACCAGAAAAATTTTCAAACATTGATGAATAACCATCAAAACGATTGTCTTTCAGCCATTTTTGTGTTTCGTCCCATGTTGCCGTTGAGGTTAACATTGTCTGCTTCGACGACGATGATAATGATGATGCTGCTGATGAGGATGATGATGGCACGATTGTTGTTGTGGTTGATGATGTTGTTGGAAAGGCTGAGAATGAGAATTCATAGCTATTATCACTGATGTCGGAAAGCAAATGACAAATGGAATTGTTATTATGATTTGCTATGGATGACGTTTTCTCCACATTATTTGATGGACTTGTGGCACCAATAGCTTTCGAGATTGGCGATAATATTTTTGATTTATTGATTGTTTCCATCAGGTTAACGTATTCATCCGAATCGATTGATTTGGAAAGATTTTGCAGTAAATCCGATCCGATTATCAAGTTGGAATTGGTGGATAGATTATATAGAGCGAATGCATCTAATGAACAATCAGTGAATACGGTACAATCGTAGGATGGCTGAAATTTTTCCTGTTCGGTTACCGGTTTTCGGCTCATTTTTTCTCGGTCGGTTTTATGTTTTCGATCGGCACCTTTTGGTTTGAATACTTTGACCTGACAAGACGCGGCATGAAGACAATGAGTGGGGTCATCTTTCGAATAAGTTTCTATTAGAATTCGAAATGGTACACCTTTTTCGCCACCATGTTTTTTCGGTGTGAATTCTGTGCTGATGCAATTGATCTGCAACAAGAAACAAAACATAGTATTCACCAACAAATAACTAACAAATAGCATACCCGAATGAAAACACCCGTCTCTTTAGTTGGGTCCCAATAGAATTCCGAACGGTTAACGCATTTAGCATCATTACGAACATCTTGTATACCATACGATAATGGAACATCAATTTCAATAACTCTTTCGGCGGGACGCTGTTCTTTCCATTGTTCGATCAGTTCTTTTTCAATGTATTGCAATCGTCGATCATGAAAGCAAACACGAATTATCGTCTTTAACATTTTGCCCTTCATTTCGCTTAAATCTCCAACTTTTTTCAATTTAATTTCGTAGGATTGTCCTATTTATTAGGGACATGATTATTTTGTTAATTTATTATCAAACAACAAACCTTGATTCAAGTAAGTCATTGTTTCTTCATTCATTTTGATCGCAATGGATGTTGATGCGCCTAAAACATATTGAAATTTGCTTGGTTCATTCGGTTTGACGGTGATGGCTGATGTGGATGCATTGGTGGTGGATACCATCGATTGCGAACGATGATGATGATGATCCAAATGAACTAATGTTGATGTAGAACTAGTTCCACTACCAGACGATACATTGTTATCCTGTCCACCATTACTAGAATTATTCGATATAATATGCGAGAAAAATGTCGTGGAAGGTGTTGATATTGATGTGGACGTCGACGACGATGGTGAAGAAGCTGTCGATTGTGTGGCTATCTGTATGGCTGATGGACTATATGGCTCGCTACCAACAACACTTCTCACATCAGGAACTGAAGAACTATGCCGAACGGATGTTGACAATTGATTGGATGGAGTTTGCAAAGCTTCATGATGATTATGGTGATGGCCATGATGGTGATCTTGATTATCATTAAGATTGATCAAATTATTTGAAATCAATAAATGAATATTACCACCATCGCTATTATTACGCTCCGAACTTGGACAAAATCTTTTGATTGCAGTTGATTGGACATCATCCCCATCTTCATTGTGATCATGATAAGCTGCCAGACGATTTTTCTTTCCATGCACAACAGCTATGGGTTTTTCTTCCTGGTTATTATTACTGTTGTTATTGTTATTTTGCTGTTCATTATTTCGATTATTATTGGAACGAGGATCCAATGTTGAGGTAGATGCTAAATGGTGATGATCGCCACCATGCTGATGATGATGATGATTATAATGATGATTATGATGCTGTTGGTGTTGTTGCTGTGATCGTAAAGAAGCAGCCAGACTAGAAGTTAATATGAAATTATTATGGGATGATTGAACTGTGTTGTTGTTTGCGATACTGCTGCTGCTATTATTATTGTTGTTGTTACTGTTATTTTGGCCATTTTGGTGGTTTTCATTGTCATTTTCATCATTGGACGAATGGTGTGCATGATGATTGTGGTGATGATGATGATGCGGATTTTGATGATGATCATGATGGTGATGCTGGAGATTGCTATGATGGGCATGGTTAACAGTGTTCTGATGATGATGGTGATGATGCTTCAATGATGAAAGACTTGGCAGTGCCATCAATGCTTCGCTGTGGAGAAACGAAAAATGAATAATTAAACAAAAAAACTACGATTGATAACATCTATAGATTGAATCTGGTCAAGTGTGTCCTTTCTGTGCTGATCTAAGTTCTGTTCCTGTGAATTTGATGTGATCGGATTGGATGGTGAGAAAATCAATTGACTATACTGTCGGATGGATCTGGATTAATGAATGAATGAAATCACTCACTTATTGTCACAGCATCATCAAATTAAAATTGAATAGTCTATGTATGAATGTTATCTCTCTTCAAACATAATAATGTTCCATTCACTTTGTTGATTTAGATTTAGTTCATCAATATGTGGTGGATGGGTAAATTTCCATTCTTTTTTGGCCAGATGACAAAAATTTTCCAGAAATTATGTTTCAACAGAGAAAAAATCCAATCAATCTAATGACCTTTGAACTGATTATAGAGTTCATTCAATTATCATTCAATTTCGATGGCCATTTTGCTGATAATGATGATAATGATGATGATGCATTACTGGCATTGGCAAATTAGTTATGCGAATTACTATCATATCATATGATGTGATATGTTACATTAAAATGGTTGATGCAAACTAGTCACTACTAGATATGACCGGATAGATAACATACTAAATAAATAAGAAAAGGATATATTCTATCATGATGATGGCAGTGTTGCATATATAAAAGTGGTATGATTTATAAAAAACTGAAATGTCATGATGATTATTTATGAATATACTGACCTCATGTTGAAGGAAGCTGTTCCAAGTTCGATGCCCAAACCGGATAGGCTACCATCGAAATCCTGTGCTAAGGCATCATCAATCTCCACATTCCATTGACCGATTGTTGTACCCATGTTGGATAATATTTGGTTATGGTGAGGATGATGATGATAATTATGTTGTTGATTGTTATTATCTACTTCCTCTTGCTCTCCACCATTGTTATCGTTGACGTTTTGGTCATCGTCGTTGTCATTGTCATCATCGGCAACAACAATAACATCATGGTTGTTGTTTGTGGTTGCCCTCAGTGATGACGGTGATATAAACAGTGGTCGTATTGATGGTGGTTGGGGCGATAACGATGATAATGATGATGATGGTGATATTGATGAATGATTGGAATGATATTTGTTATTATTATCATTAATTATCGATAATAATGATGATGATAATTTTGTTGTTGACGGTGTAGGTGTTGTTGCTGTTGTGGATGATGTTACGGAAGTTGTTTGGCAAGACGTTGAAACGATATTGGTTTGTTGTTGCTATTCGAATTTTGGTTAAAACAAAAACAAAACAAAAAGAGCAAATGTTTAAAATGATGAAAAACTCAATATTGATGATGCCAAACTCGATATCATCATTCAATCATAGGATTGATTAAGATCATGACAAGTGTCAAAACCGTTTTGCCAGTTGTCAATCAAAATCATTATGAAAAGGAAAAGAAAAGCGAAAAATGCAAGTTTTGAAAGAAAAGTTATTTCTGGTCATAGTAAAGGGTTAAAACATTGAAAATTACCAATTTGATGAATGCTGTGTGAATTTGATGGTGATGATATGGATGGTTTGTGTTGGCTGATGATGGTGATAATGGAAAAATTGGTGTGGGTGGCCGATGATGAAGATGATGGAGATGGAAATGATTATGATTATTGTGATGATTATTGTTATCATCACTATCCTCATCGTTAGCATTGAGGAAAAAATTGGAATTGGAATCATCGGGGGATAGATCCAGTGAAAATGATCGTCGTAATGGAAAAAGTCGAAGCATTTTGCTTTATTGTTGTTCGCTTAGTATTGCCTATACGATGAGCATAAGGGGAAAAAATACCAATTATAATCGGGTAATAAGATAATTGAAAGGGTGACCAACGATCAAACAAAAACAATTTCAACATTATCATTATGAAATTTTCCTATTAAAATCCAATCAAAATAACTGCCTGTCTCTACTTGTTTTAAAAAGAAAAAGAAAGGTGTCAGAAAATGGACCATGTATCTATTTGATAATAATATTTATTTTTTGTTCGATACGGATGGAAATGAGAAATTGCCCCATCATCATCCTAATCATGCGATCATAAAAATGTAATGTCACAGGCAACAAATGACACAAGCAACAGCAATTTGTGGTAATTATATTTAGAGAGCCAAATTTATTTTAGGTCATTTGGTTTGGTTTTGCTTTATATATCACACTAACTAAGTGAAATCAATAATGATGTTGGATAATGTCGCAGATTCAGAAAATACCTTGAATTTGTTTTTGTGAGAAGATTTGGAAAACTAAAGAAAAAAATTTGTACAGAATGATGATGAAAATTGATTCATCAACAATAATTGATCAATAATGTTGATCAATGATGATGAGCGATCATTGATTGATTTCAACAATGCAGATGATAATGATAATGATGATGGTAATAATGTTGATGATGATGATGATGAAACAATATTCATCAACAATCCAATGGATTCGATAATAATCATTTTTTATTGGATTCCAATTGATAATCAGAAATAATTCATTCACAATCAAACAACTAAACTGAAACGATGACAACAAATGGTGAAAAAACGACGAAAATTCCAAGGAAATTTATATGGAAATCAAATCAACATTTGAAACAAACACAGCGAGTGTATGGCGATGAAATGACATCCAACACTCAAGTCGATGGCGATGATGGCGATGAGCGCTGAGGATGTGTGTGTGGTAGGGAAGCACATAGGCCAACGTTGAAACAACAAAAACGACGACGACGACCAAACAAATTAAACTAGTTTATCATCCAAATGCATTAATTGCCTTTTGATGGTCGAAGACTCTTGATTTTTCTGGATTTTCACGACGAACGAACAAACGAAGAAAATACACAAAGTTGATATGCGACTATTATACCATCATCGATCGATCGATCTTTGATGGTTGGAAAAAATATGATGAAAATATTTTAGCAAATATAAGATATAGTAACACCAAAATTGACATTATCATCACCGTTACCATTAACACGGACCACCACCACAGATCATTATTATTCATTAGGAAAAGGCAAATAAATCAACAACAAAAAGCTGAACAAATAATGAAATTCAAATATCAATATTGAAAAGTGGAAAAAATTGTTTGTTTGGTTGCTACTATTTTTACAACTTGGATATTATCATTTGAAAGAATCTTTGATGTTGTTGACCAACAAATATTTGCTATTCAAGCGATGGACATACAAGTGGTTATCATTTGCTTGAAGCAAAGGATAATCAGCGATATTGAAAAGATATTTGATAATTTCAATTTTAGACCACAACAACCGCTGCTATCGAATTGCAAAATCAAACAACAAAAATGGCAAAGAATAGATTATCACATTGTAGGTTGTTATTATCATGCTAGAGAATCACCATACCAAGAATAATAGAAAAAACACTCGACACAGAACAAAAAGACAAGGAATACGCACATTTTATGGACGAAATGAATTTGGTGAAACACACATGTGTACAAAATGGCCAAACAAAATTTGATGATGAGCATTTTAATATGACGATTGATGATTTGCTGCAAAACACACAGATAATAATATTAATTTTATCAACAAAAAAGATGTTATTTTTGTTCGTTCAAATATCACCATCGATCGAAAATGGTGGTAATCCGAATTGATTTTGTTTATTTGTTTTGGTTAATTTAGTGGCAATCACATTTTGTCTTAGTTTTGCTGATATTAATATATAAATTTAGATTAGCTTTCCTCTTCATTCTTTACCAACTTGTTGATGTTTCTTTTTTTGATTGGCTGTTGTTGATTGCCAATATTTATGTAATGATATGTCAATACAGACGCTTCTTTCAATGGCAATCATTTCGAACAAAACATAAATATCAATTCAGTGATGATCGGTACAAGAATTGTATTGGAAATTTGTTATTACTGTTTGATAATTCTGTTTGAATTTTGTTTCACAGATAAAAACCGGGAAATCGAACGACTAATTCGCAAGAATACATTCAAGCAGCATTGTAACGGATTTCATCATGATAATTATCTGTTTGTTTATGTTTGTTTCCAGAATATTTTTGTCCAATCCGAAAAAAGAGAGTTAATCCGTATCACGCAAAATGTGCTAGCAGCAAATATATAGAATCGAATGTCGAATGTCGAATTAGTCGGGCGTCTATATTGACATAAACGGGCGATTCTTTTCCAATTTTAACGAATTTTGATTTGGTCGAATTCAACAATTTTTTTAATTGCAAAAATTCGAATAAAAACAAATGTCATCAAAAAAGGAAATGTTAAATGACATCCGACGGTAGTGTATGGCGCAAACGCAAAAAATAAGTTTATGTTTGAATGGAAAATGAAAACAAAGTATCATGATATTGATGTTGAATGATAATCAATATAAACAAAAACATCTAAATCCGAAAAACAAAAAATTATTCAATGTTATTTTATTGATGATCCTGGATTTCAGGATTTTCGAGAAAATCAGCCAAAGATAATGTCAACAACCACTATTTGAAATTGGCTTTCATTTTGCCCATGACAAAATAACTGATGACACTGATTATGATGACATTGAACTCATTTCTTGCCACTCAATCCCAATTAATCATCATCAGTACGTTGAGATAAACGGTTTGACATGTTTAGAACAATATTTATTTATTATTTTCCCATCATATCACGAGATATGGCACTACATCGCATATTCCGGTTCATTTCATTATCATCACCATGTTTCATTGACCCATCCATCGATGAGAAAAACGACAAAATTTTTATTCCACCAAAACCGGAAGAGGATATAATCTGGGGAAAAATTCGAAAGAAACTCAACCAAAATGATGAATAAATTTTGGCTCCAAATTCAATTTCTGAAAACCAGAAACACCAAGATGAAAATCGATCAAATTCACAGGAGTTCTATCCATTGAGAAACCATGCCATGATTTTTCGCATGTCTGTTTTGAGATTTACATTTTTCAAAGAATTTCCATTTGATTTGTAGTGATGATTTTTATATATAGATTTTATTAATGGGTGTTTTTGTGTTTGGTGTGTGTGATGTGTAATAATTTGTTGAAAATTTTACTTTTTCAATAAGAATTTTTAATGTTTCAAACAATGTGGAGACTGATTGATGAGATTTAAAACCAAAATCAGATTTTAGTTATTACATTTGATCAAAAAAACATTTTCTTTTCAATTTTAGCCTGTTATTTGGTATTAATAAAATAAATATTCACTGCCATGTTAATGAGAGAAATCAACATTTGTTTGAAAAATTCGTTCAGTTTATCTGCTGTTGTTTATGATATAGGTTTAGGCCATCATTTGATTTGGAAGGGACTTGGTGGTTGAATATATAAAAAGGTTTCTGGTTTTACAATAATTCCCCATGATGCGATGTGCTACTACTAAACCTGGCAACAATTATTCTTTTTACGTTCAGCATTATCTGTTGGCAGAATAGTGACTGGTGTAATGTTATCAGGCGATGATTGATCATCAGCATTATCATTACGAATCTGTTTTTGCGACACTATACGATAAATTTCTGTGAGAATCTGTTGAAACGCCGCTTCCACATTAGTTGAATCCAATGCAGAGGTCTCGATAAACGAAAGATTATTACGTTCTAAAGGGGGAGAATCAACAAAGCATGAGCTTAATGATCGATAATAGTGATAACTTACCAGCAAAAGCTCTAGCTTCATCGGTAGGCACGGCACGAAGATGGCGAAGATCACTTTTATTGCCAACAAGCATTATCACAATGTTTTGATCGGCATGATCGCGTAACTCTTTGAGCCATCGTTCGACATTTTCATAGGTCAAATGTTTTGCAATATCATAGACCAACAGGGCACCCACTGCACCACGGTAATATGCACTGGTGATTGCACGATACCTTTCCTGTCCGGCTGTATCCCAGATCTGTGCCTTGATCGTTTTGTTATCCACTTGAATGCTACGCGTTGCGAATTCCACACCGATGGTCGATTTACTTTCCAAATTGAATTCATTACGCGTAAAACGAGATAATAGATTACTTTTACCAACACCAGAATCACCGATTAAGACCACTAAAGTTATGAGATAACGCCCAGTCAAACATAAATTAACGTCAGATATTGCATGATATCACATGTCAAGTAGGATCAACAAACCTTTAAATAAATAATCATATTCATCATCTTTGGAACTCATTTTTCTTCAATTGTTGATTTATTCCCTAAAAAAATATAAAACAAAATTTAGTTCAACAATGACGATGAATGTGTCAAACAAAAATCAGGAAGAAATATTTATTTTGGTGAAACTTGAAAAATAATGATGATGATGGGTTGTTTTCTCCTGTCAACTGAGAATGAGAAACAAATTCTATAAGAAAATTAATGATATTCAATCAATTCTGATGAGGACTTTGTTTCAAATAACAACAAAAACTCAAAGAGAAAACAAACAGAATGAAATGGTAATGTGATGAGAGATCGAGGTTGATGTCGATGTTTAATGTTGATGATGATGATACAAAACAAGGCAAAAAACCTTCGATGGCGAGGATATTATGACTATTTGTATGATGATGAGTGTGTATAGCCAATGCTAAATACAGTCAACAATCGACAATAACCAAAAACAAAATCATTATTTTCCAATATCTAACCATATCAAACACCTACTCTCTCTCGCTATATCTCTACTGGATATGATCAAAAATATTTTTGCATGCAGAGATAAAATTGATAAACTCATCAAACATTTTCTTTCGATGAAAAACAATAATTTGATTCGGCCAATTAAAAATAAACCAGAAAAATTACTTACCAAGAAAATGAACTCGATATGTTTGGTTCTTCGAAAAAGAATTGGATGAAATACAAATGATAATGATAATGGTGAATTTGGATGAAATAGAATGATTTATTAAATCTTCAAAACACAACAAAATTTCAATAAAGAAAAATAAAGCCAACGAATTCCTTTTGCGCCTAGCTTTTTGGGTAACACAGTGTGTGTGCTTGACTGGCGAGTGTGTTTCTTCATCCAGTCGTTCTACCCTAAATACCACTACCAATAGTGGTGGTACACAGAAATATCGATACAGGCATTCTGCGTTTCACTCGATGAAATGAAAATAATTTAAATTTTGTAAATTGATCAAGGAACTGGTTTTCCATCAAATCATTTTGATTAAATGATGTTTGTGCAGAAGAAGTTTCACTATAGTTTTGCAAAAATCCTCGTCAATAAAATCGAATTATGAACGTTATTAAATGACGCCTTTCTTTCCAGCATTGAAAAAAGGTTTTTCCCGGAAACCGACAGATGTCGTAACAGTGCCAGGGATTTTTTTGTTTTTTGTTGAGTGTGTCTATTTCAACGCGGTGTGATCAAATGCAGTTAATTTGTATTGTTGTTCGACTCGACATTTTCTATGGTGCTCTTTTGCTGTTATTTCTGCACACATTTTTGGTATCAATTTGATTAAGTTATTTTGTTTTTTGTCAAATTACGAAACTAATTTAATAATCGAATAGCAATGGTGGATCTAACTGAAGATTCGATTAATTTACGGGCATTGAAGAAAATCGATGACAACATTCGCGAGATAATAATTTGTGCGGGCCAGGTAGCCGTCTATTATTATGATATCAATCAAAATGACTGGGTACGAAAGAATATTGAGGGGACATTGTTTTTCGTTCGCCGAAGTAATCAACCGGAATATGCATTTGTCGTTATTAATCGCTTGAATACGATCAACTTTGTTCAGAAAATTACCAAAGATCTGGAGATAAGTGTACAAAGTCCATATCTGATGTATAAAAATATTGAAAAAGAAATCTACTGCATTTGGTTCTATGATGCCGACCAATGTGTCACGTTGAATGAAAACATCAATCAGGCTATGAATTTGATTAAAGGCACGCCATCCAAATTATTGTTGAATGGCCGATCCAATACACCGAAATCAAAACAAGCGGCTTCATCCGCAACACCCAACCATAATAACCAAAATAATAACAGCCAACCACAGGCTTCGGAAATATTGAAAATGTTATATAATCCAGCTTCGTTAGGTAATTGTGGCGATCCGATTTTGCCACCGTCGGATTCGATGAAACCGCAACTGTTGATGAATCATCATTCGAATGAAAATCACATTGAACCGAAATGCAATGATGATTTGGTCAAACCTATCGCCCAACGTAGAAGTGTTAATCTTAAGGAATTGTTCGAATCACAATTGGTTCTGCAGGAAAGTTCGATAAAAGAAAATTCTCAACATTGTCTTGTGGACAACAGCGATTCTCAGTCCAATAATAAGCCACAAGCATCGACCCCGTCATCATCGAAACCAACGCCAAACAAAAACGAAATATTGATTCCATCATCCACATTTATGACTGATGATTTGAAGAAAAAAAGTTTGACCTCTATTCCATCGAATTCAGCAGCAAACGCGCCATCGTCAAACCATGCAGGGCTCATTTTGCTACCAGATTATCCTACAGAATCACAACCACCACCACCACCACAAAATTCAACTGTAAACTCAGATATTGTTGAAACGCAACAACAAATGCAAATGGTGCCTAATATTATGCCCCAACAATCGATTCATCCATCGCAAATTCCTTTTCCAATCAATTTCGAATCTGGCTATCATCCATTGCCGCCACCATCAGCACCGCAAATGTTTACAAATTCTTTGGTCAACTGCATTCCACCGAATGTATTCGATATTCAACAACAACATGAGCATCATCAGATGATGCTGAAACAGCAGCAGCAACAACAACAACCTGTCACACCAATTCAAACTGGCCGGACATCGATTTCCAAATCGGACATGTATCTATCTATGGAACAGTTGAAAAAGACATTGATTTATTTATTGTCGAATGATGCCGATTTTCTCCATGCTATACACACTGCTTATGTGGAAAATATCAAAAAATGATGATGTAAAAACATGCGACAATTGTGGATCATCATTAATGATAACTATCAATTATGTCTGAACTATTATGATTTTCGTTGTAGAATATACCCACTCACCACACACATAATCACATTTGAACAAAATTTAAAAACTATGTTCAGTTTTTATTATTTCTTTTGATTGCTATTAAAATTGAAATTCATATTTTTGGTTTAACACTGAAAAATCCACTGGAATTGCTGAAATATTTGGCATTTGCTTCGTTCACTTTCTTTTCGGCTGCCAATGGATTATTGATTTCTAGACCTTGTTTGGGTGTGAATGCTATGGTGGATGCTGTTCCGGATACCTGTTTGCGAACGGTAGTAGTTCCACCAAATACCTGTTGATGGCGTTGAAGATTTTTTTGCAATGTCTTCGATATTCGAACCTTGGTTTTTTCATCGATTTGTGGTCCACGAATGCGACCACTGCCAGATTTGCCCATTTGACCGGTGGTGAATCCCAGATCATTTTGATAGGCATCATCTTCGATTTCGGCAAAGTTTAATCGGTTAGCTTGTTTTCGTAAATCGGTTATGACAAGACGTTCTTTCAGCTTACGAACACGTTTACCACCGCGTTTTTTCTTCGGCGTATCGATTGGTGCTGGCAAAGGTTTGACTTGTTTGACTGGTGGTGGTTCTTGGAGTTTATCCAATGCTCGTTCGATTTCTTCGCGAAATTTATCGCCCATTGATCCATCTGGATAGGAATGAACAGCATCAGCACGTGCAGCTAATGTTGATTTGTTTGCCACCAATGTGGCAGCTTTTTTACGTAAATCAGGTGGGGAATTTTGAACGATTTCTGATTGAAACACCAGTCCAGTATGCGGCATTATAGCAGTGGTGGAGAATCCGGATAATGTTTTACGCGTAGATCCCAATGATTTCAGGTTACATGAAGGCATTTTCGATAAACTAGTCAATCCACCGGCCAAACCGATTAGCTTGGCAGCAATGGAAGCACCGATAATAACAGTCAGATTCGGAGCAATGAAAGTCATTCTCGATTCGACAAATTTATAAATCAACATTTTGCATTCATTCAATTCGATAGCAACATCGCAGGCATCCATGATATAGTTCAATTCCTCGTCGGACATCATCGAACCTTGAGTAGTGGAGGCTGTCACACTGACCACCATAATAGTGGCTTGTGTGAGGAATTGTTGAAGTTTTTCATTGTTTTTAACTTTGTCCAAATTGTTTGCCAATTCCTTCACTGTCATCAAATAGTCCATAGGATTGGGCACTAATGATTCCAATTCGGGAAAACGTTTGGCATATTTATCGCGAACAAATTTATGGCAAATATTGATATCATTGTCTATTTGTACGGCCATATTATTGGCATCCACAACCAATTTATATTCGGGGTGCGATTCAATAGGACCATCAATCTGACATTTGTTGAATGTTACTGCAGAAATAACAAAAATATCATAATCATTTGTTCAATCAATTGAGTGTTACCATCGTTGGATTGCCGTCCATTGATTTCGGCGATGATTCGTCCAAGTTCATCACTTCCAATGATTTTCGTCAACGAACGAACAGATGCATATTGTTTTTGTGTTGATTCCAGGTTCGATTCATTTGGGACAATTTCCATCGATTCCAGATTGGATTGGTCATCATCGTCAAAAACTTCGTCATCCTCCAAATCGGCCAACAATTCATCAGCCAAAGACATTTTTATTCGTTAATCTTTGGAAAATTCAAATAAAATAAAATTAGCCGGCAACAACAAAAAATCTGATGAAACTGTCATGAGTTTTTAGACGTTGAAAGTTGATCGCTGTTAATAATGGCGCCATCTAGTTTACGGAATTTTTCAAAATAACTCTTTTATTGAATTCGTAATGAGGAATCAGCATCATCGACGATGCTATAGCGAACATCCAAACTATATAATATCGCAATGAAATTCTCGTGAAATTAAAGTGGGCTTTTCGACAACATTTGCTCTTTAACAACGACATTGTAGTTTTATTTTTGTAGAAAAAGACAAGCTATAAATAGTATCATTCTTATAGAATCGCAAGACTGATCATGAGAAAAATAGAATACAATGCAGAAATTGTATGTTTGAGAAAAGCAAACAAAAAACGTTTTTTAATTTTCAAAGAAATAATAATCATTTTAATAATATTTTTCAAATCAAATAAATGAGAGTTTGTGTTGAAGGAAATGTTAGCAATTGCTGTCTGTGTATGAAAGTTATTTGATGAAATAGTCTGAGGGCAAATCAATAGCAAATCATATATGGTGGTGGAAAATTTTAGAAAAATAATCAAATCAGAGTTTCGATGAATTTTGATAAACGTAATAAATTAACATCCTATTTAGAATTATGAGAGATTCAAACAAGCTATCATCAGAACGGGAATGTATCTTGATATCAATCAAGTCAATATTAATCAATAGCAATTTAACTTTAATTTTTTGGTGAATTCAAAGCAAGCAAGAAATGAATGAAAAAACTATGTGTCTGGGGTTGTAATTTTGTTTTTTGGTTGTTTATATGGAGTGAAATGAAGAATATTTGAATGAATGTTTGTATTGGTGTGTTAATGTTTGTGGTGGACATGAAAAACAACGACAGCCGTTGATTAGTATTAATATTGTAATGATGGTGATGATGATTGAACTTTACTACTAGAGTTAATCTTTATTATCCAGATATTTCATATGCCAAATATACCATATCATCGGATCCATTTGCCGGTATTGCTGGATGATCGGGTGGCAACAGAACGAAGCCGATAAAGTTGAACAAACGTATCATGACGTCTATGTTTGTCAATTAGAAAAAGATGACCATATATGTTATAAAGTTAAAACAAAAACAAAAACAAGCCTATCTTACTTCGATCAGGATTTTGTTTATCCAAATACACGACAACAGTTTTGCAATGCAATTCTTCTTCCGCAAACTCGAGCAAAGCAATGAACGCTTCTTTCGAATTGCCTGTTGGTGGTTGCGAAATGTAGACATAGAGAATCTCGTTGATTAACAATGATTCCCACTGCACTTCAATCGAATCCAGCAATGTTATCTTAACCGTTATTTTAACAGGCTCTTTGATTGAATGTTTACTCAGCTCATTAATCGGCAATTGAATCGATGATGATGATATTGAGTTTGACGGAGGAGGTGTCTGACCGAAAAATTTACTGCTGTTATTGAATAATGGACTGCCGTTTGAATGGTTGAAGATTCTATTGCTATTGAAGATTGGGGGGCTGTTGTTGTTGTTGTTGCTCTCGTCCACGACCGTAATGGATGTTTGTTGGTTTTGGTGGGGTGGTGGAGCTGTGATATTCCCGTTAGGGACATCAGGAATACCTATTTGAAAATTGGAAGGAGGAGGAGGCGCAAGACATTGAGCAATTTTATTATCACCATTATCTAATTTGCCAAATTGTTTCGCAATGGAGTAGTTATTTAAATGACGTATGTCATAAAATTTCACTCATTAACAAACAATTTGACAATGGCAATGCCACTAAATCGATTACTGTTACTTACCACAGCGTTGCGGTGCCGAGCGAGACGCAAAAATGTCTCAAAGGAACATAGCCTTCGAGAGAGTCACTACTATTGAAAGAAAGAAAAAAGATGACAATTAGTCCAAAAGAAAGATAATTTAGATCAAGATAACAATCTTTCTCACTAACAAATCCATTGTTTTGGCCAAACTAATTTGGCATTCTATCAAAAAAGTTGTTTGTTTCGAATTGTGAATAGAAAAACTATGTGTGCAAATACGTCATCATAAATTCAAATAACCATGGTGGGTATACGTGTTTATCATAAAAATGGATATCAAACATTGACAAACAACACATCGATTGATCAAAGTCAAGTAATCATCAGCATTTTCTGCGGAAAAATTAATCAATCAGCTACAAATGAAGAAAACAGTCATTTTCTGGGACGATCAACTTTTACAAAAAGCGATTACATTATTTGTTTTGTCAAGTTTCCAATCCAAGAGGGAAAAAGTTGATCGATTCCTTTTTGCACTTTGAATAGTCGATATCATGAGTTTCGACTATTTTGACCTTCAAAGTTTCATTGCATTTTGTCTGGTTTGGACTATGATTTTTGATCGTCCAACAATATATCCTGTTTACTTCTTGATCAACTCAACTAACAAAATCGTTGGTGATAATAATCAATCAATCATATGACTGATTTTTGTTTATCATCAGCATTTAGTAAATCGGCCAAATTTACACTTTAATCAATAAAATTGCCATCAAAATTATCATTTATCAAATACGGATTTTTTCTAACAGCCAACAATGTAATGCAACAAACAAAAAGATGGGAAAATATTCGAAAATCTTGTTTGCTTTTCTGAAAGAATCCAGAAAAAACGAGTATTTCGAAGCTTTCGATTCGAAAAGTAGCAAAACAACTTTTTGATTAAAGCTTTTTCTAATGCAATAGAACAATCGATTTTGATAAACTTACCTCAACTCATAAAGATTATTACTACAATTACTCATCAAAGCAGGCATCTTTATATTTTCGTCGTCGTCTTGATTACAATTAGAGGATTTGGCGTCGGATAAAATTGCTTGAAAACCTATGTTGTTTTGTTTTGCAAAGTAAAAGAAATTGATTTTATTGTATCAAATCAAATACTGTAGGGTTAATTATCATCAAACAACGATGGATCAAAACCAAAACAAAGAAAAAATATTTTCAAAGTCAAAAATACTTACAAGTCGTACTCATACCGAAATCGGATCAAAAACAAAACATTAATAATGACGCATCGAATTTCGAATGCTCAATTTATAGCGATGGCAAAAGACAAGATCGAGCAAGCAAACAAACAACGATAAGGATAACAAACATTGGCAGCAAAGAAAGAGAGACAGCCAACTGATAATGTTAAAGAGCATGCGTGTGTTTTTCTTCCATGGCAACACAACAATATTGATTAAATTAGCAAAACGAAAAACCAAAACATTGCAAATAAACGAATGAAGAATATATAGCAAACATTGGACGGAATTGCTTTTTTTGTTGGGAGCCATCATTTTATCCACAAAAAAGCAATCTTCTATATAACAAGCCAAGATCATAGGATTCAAGTATATTTTGTTTTTGTTTTTTGAAAAAAATAATCACAAAATCATGTGTTGTTTTTGTGGAAATGGATGTTGATTTTTCTGTTTTGTTTTTTGTTTGATAATAAGGAAAAAATATGGCTGAACGAAAAGCAACGAATAAATATTACCCACCGGAATGGAATCCATCCAAAGGATCGATTAATAAATTTCGCGGCAGTCATCCATTACGGGAGCGTGCAAGAAAGCTTGATCAGGGAATATTGATAATTCGATTTGAATTGCCATTCAATATCTGGTGTGATGGATGTAATAACCATGTGGGAATGGGTGTCCGTTATAATGCACAAAAGTCCAAAGTGGGAATGTACTACAGCACACCATTATATAAGTTTCGTATGAAATGTCATCTCTGTGATAACCACTTTGAGATTCAAAACGATCCGAAAAATTTGGATTACACCATACTGAATGGGGCTCGTCGCCAGGAGAATCGTTGGGATCCAGTCGAAAACGAGCAGATCGATGTTGATAAAAGTGTTTCGAAAAAAATCAAAACCGATCCAATGTTCAAGCTGGAAAACGATACGATCGATAAGAAAAAAGCGATCGAAAATAAGAATGCGATCGAGAATTTGGAACAGTTTCAATCGCGATGGAAAGATGATTATTCGATAAATTGTTCATTGCGGAGAACATTTCGAACCAAACGCAAAGAACTGAAGGAACGTGCCACTCATGATGTGAGATTGTTGCAGAAATCATCACTGCCAATCACAATGAATTTAGTGACCGAAAACGAACAAGATAATCGAATGGCCAAACTGATTGGATTGCAATCGAAAGAAACGCCCGAACAGCAGAAATTTCGCAAGCGAAAACAAATAATGAATCAATCTATTTTTGGCATCACGCCCAAATACCCGGCAAAACGATCATCATCATCATCCTCGATGCAGAAACCGAAACCCAATCTATTGAGCAATGTAATTAAATTGAGAAGCAATGACCGAACGGCATCATCAAGTGCTAGCATGGTACCGTGCATCGTCAATAATTACGATTCGAGCGACGAAGATTAGATAAATAAACTGTGTAAATAGAATTTGATTGTTTATTAATATCAATTGAAATTGATTATCCAACATAAATTCACAAGCAAAACAAACAAAAAATAATATAATCTTAGCAAAAAAGAAGCAGATAGAAAAATTGCCTGTTACAATAATGAGAGTATATGTTTCGAGTGTTTGATGATCCGAATGAACCAACCGATCAAGTCATGTGACTATAGCCAGATTAGTGCATGTGAGAAGCGAAAAGAAGAAAGGAAGATATAAATAAATGTCAACAAAGATATGATAGCCATATTTTGACAAAATAATCGTTCATTGGTTTGCCGCATTGGAAGCAGCGACAGATGATGTGGTAGCCGACAATGTTTCCGTCGTTGTCGTCAATCCGGATGAAGAAGACGATGGTGGTGTTTGGTGATGTTTTCGCATATGCAGACCAAGATTGTGTTTCCAATATGAAGCATAATTGCAATTATCATATGAACAGCGGAAATTTTTTGGACCATGTAAAGCCATATGTTGTTTCATGGCCACTTTATACGCGAATGCTTTGCCTTTGACCGGAAAAAGGAAAATTGATCATCCAAAAACAAACAATTTGATGACACTTACCACAATGCTGACAAACGTGTCTATAGCCATTCGGATTGTTTGATTGCAGTGTTGTAGTCGGACCATTCGATGCTGCATGATTTGCCGATTTTCGTGTTCGTTTGACCGGAGTAGAACAATTATTATTAATGTTGTTGTTGCTGATGTTGTTATTGGTGTTGTTATTGATGTTGTCGTTGATGTTGTTGTTGATATTAGTTTTGATGGTAGGCACGGTCGTCACCTGGATCTGATCGAATTGTTGAGTGACAACGGTATTGATTAAAGCTTGATGTTGTTGAGCATGTTTTTGCATATCGGACAGATTATCGAATGCAGAATCACAATAGGTACATTTATATTCTAGTTTAGCGTGCTGTACATTATGTACACGTTTTTCGTGAACATTGCGGGAACTGGTCTGGGTAAATGTGCGATTGCAGCCTTGTATGGAACATTTATATGGCCGTGCTCCGGTATGACTTCGTTTATGCGAGGCAAGATAATGTTTGTTGAAATATTTACCACAATATTCACACAGTGCCAATTTGCCAGAATTTTTAACGCTAATGGCATTATTATTGTTAATGTTATTGGCAGTTGTGGTTGTTATTATTGCCACCGTATTATTATTGGCCACAATCGGATATGATACATTATTACTATTGGCATTATTGGCATTACTATATTCAATGTCTTCTAATACCAATTTTGGAACATAAATACCGTCCTCATTCATTTTCACTTCAGTGGCTAAATCTTTCTTGAAATACTCATGACTGATGATTTCCTGGGCATTACTATAATCACCGCTATGATATACGAGAACTGTATGTGGTTGTGGTTGTTGTTGTTGTTGTTGTTGCTGCTGCTGTTGTTGTTGGACATTTGTTTCCAATTGTTGGACCGAGGTGTTTTTGGGAGAAAGATCTACCAAAGAAGTCGATAGCAATTTCAAATGTTCTTTGAACAGATTTCCTTCATTATCTGTGTTGGAAAATAAAAAGAGAATGATATTCGAAAGTTAACCTTATTAATCATACCAGAGATCCTTGTATGCGACGATTGAATGGATTCGGTGAGGAATTGGATTTGTTTGTCGTATTTAATAATATTCGATTCATATGCTGATTTATCGGTGTGATAATTTGCATAAACAACATTTTCTTTCGATAATGACATGATTTTTTCCACCAAATTCCTCAGATGACTTAGATATTTCAATATTTCCACATGTCGTTGTGTTAGGACTTTGCACAATTCTTTATAATTTTGCTGTTGATCCATTAATAATTTATTCTCCGATTCGAGAAAATTAATCTTGTTCGCTACATCAGCCATCTTCTCTCTTGTCTGATGAGATGAGATGAATCAAAAGTAGAAAATGGTTGATAGATCCGGTGGGATGATAACTTCCGTTCGGATTCGAAAAGAATTATGACCGAAACAAACAAATATCATCCAAATATGACGGAACACAATAATCGAATGTTTTGCCACACACCACAATCGAATCCGAAAGCGAGAATTTAAATCATTATTCGCCAATCGATATGGTTTGGTTTGAAATTAATTCAATTTAAAATGACGATTATTGTTATCAATCAATTGAATTGAATTGAATTGTAATGAAATTGAATCACATTCAACAATTGAATAATAATGGTTATATGATGATATAGGAAATATATTATTATTATAGTTGCTATTTTCAATATACAAATTTATACGTGCATACATCAACAATAACAACAACAATTAATCCGTTCTTTTTTCATTGTTGCTATTCATTCATTAATTGCAGTCGAATTGGTGGATTTTCTTTCGAGAAAACTTGGCCAAAATATAAAGATGCATTCAAACAATCAAATATATTCAACACCACATCAAATTATTTTGGATGACAAAAAATAATAATATTTGTTATTATTTATAATGAATCAATCGATACATCCATCATCATATACCGAATATAACATTTTCTATACCTAAATACATTATAAGGACGAATAAGGAGTTTTTCGAGTGGTTTTTCTATCGATATGATTGTTGTTGTTGTTGTTGTTTGTGTGCGATGTATACACCACCGAAATATATCCCATATAAGAAGATATATAGCCCAATGGACACAGCACAACTCAGGTGTATGTATCTGTATAACTCATATATGGAGGAGTAGTGGTATGGCAAATGGATGGAGAGAGATGATAACAATATAAATCGTATAAACTATGCATCAGCATTATGCTATCTTGTTTTTGGTATGAGTGTGGAGGATGCTATTTTGAATGATGATGATGGGTGTATGATGTTTATGTTTTAAAGCATTTTTACTATTGGAAATTTTTAAAGATGTTTGCAATGCATGACATAAACATTCGAATGCTGTTTGATTTGATATTCTATTTGTACAAAAAAAAAATCGAACATGAAGAACGAATGGAATTGTTAAAAAAATGATCATTTTAGAATTGGGTATTGTTTTCATTGCTAATCGATAGATAGTCTGGATTAACACTTTGATTCAAAAATGATTGAAATATTCGCCCAAGTGATGAATACATGTGTTAGAATTAGATATAGCAAAGATTTATGGAAAGCATCAATGGTACTAATATTGGCCAAACCCAACAAACAAGGCCATTGGAAAAAAGGAATAAGTGATATTTTATGATTATAGTCTGTGATGAAAGCTAAAAAGCAAGAAAATGAGCAAGAAAAAGTTTTTTTTTGTAACAAAAATGGTTTATTAGAATTCGGTCATTACATCTTTGTTAGACACACAATGAAGACAGTCCAACATTACCATATTGGAATTAGTTGAGTTCATTCAGATCTACCACAATAGCCAGAAGCAGAAAAAGTCGGAGTTCGATCACATCAAATTCGAATTAGGAATTGTTTGAATTTTTCTATTTGAATTTTAGAAAATGATAAGCAGTGTGCTTCTAAACTTGATTAGTTTTGTATATGGCATTATCGCTTTTTATTTTGAGTGATGAACAGCAACGAAGAAAAACTAGTTCCAGATTTCGAACTATGTTTGTTCGAAATTAAACATATTGTAAAGAAGCGAAAATTATGCAAGATTTAGTTCGATGTTTCGAACTTGGATTGTTGTTCGATTAAAAATTTTGTTCTAAATAATTTACAAGTCATTCCATTGCTTGTGCTAACTCTGAATAACGTGTTGTTTGATTTAATACAAAGATAGGTTTTTCTACAGCTTTGCTTTTCTTTTGTGGAACATGTGAAAATCAGCCGTCCATGCATATTGGAGCTTGCTTTAAAGTTTTTCATAATAAATGAATTAACAAACAAAAAATTTCTTGTAATTTCGTGTTTTTTAAAAATTACTATTCATTCGATTATAAGACGCAAACAGTGAATAAACAATTGATTTACTGAAAAATCTATAACCACGTGTAATTTTTTGATTTTGATTTTATGAAATCGTTTTTAAACAGCATCTGATTCGCCTCTAATGTCTAATTACGTTGTGGCTAAACTCATGTTTTTCATTTCAATTTCCAAGCTAAAAAATTTAATTCTCATAATACCTGTAATGAATTATATTACATTAATTCGATTTGTTACAACATTAACAATTATATTTGATTTGCATAGTTTTAGTTTTAACTAAAACCTGAACCTAGTTTTATTTTTAATATTAAAAGTTTTATTTGTTATTTGTTTTACTTTCGTGTTATTCTTAATTGTTATAATACCAATCTGTGAAGAATCCAAGTTACATTCGATTCGAACTTGACTGTAGAAAAAAAGATCAGCCATTCAAAATCTAATAGAATCAAAACAAAATCTTTATTTGATATGCTGGGGGTCAAGAAGAACATTCAAGCTTACATACTGTAATGAATTGAATTAACATTTAATTCAATAGTAACAATTATTGTAACTTTATATGAATTTAGTTCTAGTTCATGATTGGACTTGAACCTAGTTTGTATATTCATTAAAAGTTTAATTGATATTTTTCTAATATTTGGTGTTATATTCTCAATTCATAACATTTCTTTATATGTGCCGATAAAAACAAAATGAATGTAAGTTATATGATAAGTTTAGTAATTAATAATTTGCTTAATTTAAATTTATCATCTCCACAGTGGGTAACATGCGAATAATTGTCTTGGTCTAATGATCATCATCCTGATCATTTCACTATGTACCACCTGGTACTTAGTGGACAAAATGATAAGAGATGAACAGGAGTTCAAACAAAAAACATCTAGAACATTGATTCGCACAAGAAGCCATCCAGCATCGATTCTTGTAGATTAGAAGAAGAAGCATTAAGCAACAGGTTATGGGCTCCAACATGCATTCTACTGCGAGAATTGATTCGAGGAATCGTACCGAAACAAGAGAGAAGCAGTTATATTCAGTTTGGTCCTTCAAGAAATTTGAATTTTATCAACAATACTTGTTTGCAAAATCATGATTACCATATCTAAACTGATGGTTGGTGGTCGTAATGGATTTAGTTTGATGTTAAATTTCGAATGTCCAGTATTCGATTGCAAGCTAAATTCATTTGATATTTTTTTATTTTTAAACTGACAATTTGTTACAATTTTAATAAACATATTATGTTTCATCAATTTTTTAACAAAAGGTTTTCTAAAATCTTTGTTTTGATCATCCTGTCGTTTATGAACAGCGTCAAAAAGCTCAAACAACTTGCTTGCTTCTCAATTGAAAAGCGCATGTTGAAAAGGAAANAATGGATTTAGTTTGATGTTAAATTTCGAATGTCCAGTATTCGATTGCAAGCTAAATTCATTTGATATTTTTTTATTTTTAAACTCTCAATTTGTTAAAATTTAATAAACATATTATGTTTCAATTTTTCATGAAAGTTTTTTTAAAATACTTTGTTTTGATCATCCTGTCGTTTATGAAGAACGCCAAAAAGCTCAAACAACTTGCTTGCTTCTCAACTGAAAAGCGCATGTTGAAAAGGAAATTGTCAATTGTGAACTTGATTTTGCAGTGTGAGCACGTTGTCAGAGTGATGATGAAATGAATCTTGTTGTTTTTGTTAAACATCAAATGAAGAATTCTTTTTTGTGTGATTATTCTGTTACGAATTAGACTAATTAATTGTGATACGAATCAATGAATGTTTATTAATTAGAAGTTTTATGATAAGTTTTCCCAAACAAAGTTTTTGTGAATTTTCCTTTTGATGTTGAGTATTTCATCATCGATTCACTTTCATTTTGTTTTCGAATTGAGTTTTTGAAAAAGTGCTAAATCATTCGCTAAGAAATGAACACGATGAAATTATTTTGTTACAAATTCCCCTGGTTAATTGTGATTCGAATTAATGCTTGTTGATAATTGGAATTTCGAAATAAGTTTTCTAAAGTTTTTTTTTCTAATTTTTCCTTTTTGTGTTCATGATGCGCATTTCATCATCGACTCATTTTTTTCGAACAAAATTTCTGAAAAGTGCAAAATCATTCCCCAAAAAAATTGAACACTGCGCATATTGTTTACATTTCATCACTCGCTTTTTGTTTGTGGTTATC